TCCCTTCTTTGATTTTCAATAGAGCCTTCCCCTTTGTCCTTCCCTGCTCAAAGAGGAAAGATTTTGCTTCAATGGACAAATCCAGTCTCCATTTCCCCGCCAGCTTGAACTTCCTCTCCTCTCCCATGCCTAACTCCTATATCTCACCACCAAGCCCAGCTCCCAAAATGTGCATACTATTTCAGGTAATCATGGAGTAACTCCATACTCCAGACTATCTACAGTTTTGGATATTGTGGTCTTTTTCTTTTAATTATAAAAGTAATATCTAGTAGTAGTAGGGTATGAGCAAACATGTAAAGCTCTTTCTCCCCTCCTGTAACTAAGCATTTTCTCCCATTTTCTTTCCATGTTTTGGTATCTATCTCTTTTTTGTCTACATCATGGTGTCACAAAACAAAGAAACTATTGACCCAGGTTAACAGAAATCAAGACTAGACTGAGATAGAAGCTCAAGGCTTGTGTAGTCCAGCAGACAAAAGGATGCCCAGGGAGCTGATGTTGCAGTATATTAAACCAGATTCCCAGAATGGGTAAAAAATGTTGTTTGAAAGGGCATGATTTTAATACAAATTAGTGTATCCAGGATAATGGAGAAAGGATAAGTTTAGGTCCATTACAAGATTCTAGGAAAGAAAAGTTGAATGAATGAGTGCAAGGTTTGAGATTTTCCCACCACTCTTCTCAAAGCTCTCCAATGATTTTAAGCAACTCATTTAGTATGTCCTGATGGGTTTGCGAGATGGCATCATACTTTACAGGCCTAAAAACTCGTGATCATATTCAAATACTGGATTTGGGATTGGACATTCCATTCCCACCCCATTGTTTGGTAATGATTACAAAGTGGCTCACATGTTGACTGAAAAATTCCTTACCCAATGGTTTATATGCTATCATCTAAGGGATTTATATTCATTTTTATTATAAATAGTCAAAAGGAATTGCATCCAACCGATTTAGCTTTCTTGCTTTATATTGTTACTATAATAATAAAAATGAGTAGGATGAGAAAAAAAGGTATAACGGTAGAGACCTATAATGGTCTAATGGTCATGTATTTTAAGATAACATGCCATTACAAAATTATGATGATTTTGTTCCTAGGTAAAAAGTATAGGAGATAACAGTGTGTAAAACAAGATGAAAAATATATTTTGGTAATAAAAGAAAATTCCTTGATTTTCTGTTGCTCCTGCCAAAAGAAAAACCAAACAAAAGAAAAGGTAAAAACCTCATATTTCTATTGAGTCTATTGAAATTTCCCTTTTTCTAACCTTAAAAAGTCATGCTTTGTTGGTTGCTTAAAAAAATCTAATCTTCAATCTATAAAATATAAATGGACAAAAGAAAATCCTTGAGGAAGTTATAGTTGTGGTTCTAAAGACAAAGATTTCATAATCTTCTTAAATGAAATATACATATTTTTTCCCATTGCACATCTTTTAAGTTTTGTGGTCAATTGTAACACTTTATATCCGAGACCATTTTACGCATAGTGTAATAACCATGATTTGCATGCCTAGTAGAACAACGTATTCACATTCATAACATTTCTTTACATTGAACTTTCCTTGAAATCACCCTATACAACAAGCACATTGTGATAGTGGAATTAAGCATAATAAATATGAGATTGAAATAAAAAGTCAGAAGCAAACACTGATCAAGAAAAAAGCATGGAGGCACAACTATTATTGAATACTGGATACATGGTAATGCCAAGAAAAATAATATAATAAGCACCTGTAGTTGTACTGCCTCTTGACGAGAGCGAATCTGTTTCCTTGCAGGTCGAGCACTGCCGAAATCCATCAATATGGCAAGTGGTGGTTGTCCTTTTCTGTGTGTGATGAGGACATTACCTGGTTTCACATCATTATGTGCATACGGAGGCTCGTAACTGTGCATATGCTTCAAACCTGCACAAAGCTGTAGTAAAGGCCCTTAGTGAAAATGTTACTGCTGCATGGACAACAATGCCATACTCCAGTGACAACATCATTGAACTGACAAATTAATAATAAATAAGTAAAAGGCTAAGTTTAAAAGAAAGCAATTCTTAATGTACAATTCAAACTTTAAATAGGTGCAAAAAGTTTGTGTTTTGAATAGCATATCCACACCAAGCAGGAAAAAAATCCAAGGTGATTCCCAAATAAAAAGCTGCATTTTATCTTCAACTGAACTCACTCTAGAAGAACCAAATTCTTCATGGAGATCCTGGGAACAGGTGATTTCAGTAAAGTAATAACTAGATAGAAGTTCCAATTTCCAATTATGAGGCTAAAGCCTGTGTTGGGTACTGTAATCTCAGAGAATCAAGGAGTGTTCATGGCAGGAAGATTTATGGCTGATGGGGTTTTAGTGGCAAACAAATTGATAGATGCAAGATTGAGAGGTGGAAGGTCCGGTTTACTCTGCAAAGTGGACTTTGAGAAGGCCTGTGACCATATCATTTGGCATTTTTTGAACTATACTTTGAAAAGAATGAATTTTGGCTCCAAATGGAGGAGCTGGATGAAGGTTTGCACCAACACCCCTTCGTTCTCTGTATTTGTGAATGGCATTTCTTTTGGTCGCTTCAAGAGTTCAAGGGGGCTGAGGCAGGGAGACCCTCTTTCTCCCTTTCTTTTCATTTGTGTGACAGAAGCTCTGAGCAGGCTGATGAAAAGGGCCACTGCAGGGGGGTTTATAGAAGGCTTTACAGTAGGAGAGGAAAGGATAGAGGTACCCTTGCTGCAGTATGCTGATGATACTCTCATTTTCTGTGATGCTTCTCTTGATCAGTTGAGCTATGTTATGGCTGTTCTTCGGTGGCTTGAGGTTGTGTAGGGTCTTCACATAAATTTGCACAAGAGTGAGTTGGTTGCGGTGGGGGAGGTGCAGAGCCTTCAAAGCTGGGCAGTTTACCCATGAAGTACTTAGGGATGCCACTAGGCACAAATTGCAATTCCAAAGCCATGTGGGATACATAGTGGAGAAATTTAACAAGAGGTTGACCTCTTGGAAAGCTAAATACCTTTCTTTTGGAGGTAAAGTCACTTTATTGAAGAGTGTTCTGTTGTCCATTCCTATCATCTTGCTTTCTTTATACCCAATTCCAGCTGGAATGACTAATGTAATCGAAAAGAAAATGAGAGATTTTTTTATGGGGAGGGTGGAAGGGTGAGAAGAAATATAATTTGGTTAATTGGAAAAAGGTATGCAATCCTAAACTTCAAGGGGGTTTGGGCATTCGGAGAGTGAAGGATATTAATACAGCTTTGCTAGGAAAGTGGCTTTGGAGGTTCAGTGAGAGGCAAGAAGGTTTGTGGAGAAGGGTGCTAATTGCAAAGTATGGACAAGGCCACACGGGATGGGAGCCAGGGATGCCCAATCAGACTTATGGGTTCTCTGTGTGGAAAGGCACAAGGAAAGCTTTCGACCCTTTTATGAAGGGTATCTGCTTCAAAATTGGTGATGGCCATTGGGTGAAATTCTGGAAAGACTCCTGGTGTGAAGGCAGGCCACTGAAAGAGTCTTTCCCTGCCTTGTATGAGTTGACAGTAGACAAAGAAACTTGGGTGACAGACCACTTACAGGTGCAGAATGGGAATGTAGTCTGGACTCCTCGTTTCAGAAAAAACCTTAATGACTGGGAGGTGGAGGCAATGGTGGACATGCTTCACAATTTATACAGCACTCAGGTGGAGATTGGGAGCACTGATAGAAGGCTGTGGAAGTGGGATAAATCTGGAAGTTTTACAGTCAAATCCTTCTATAATACGTGTCCAGATCAGAGGAACAGGCCATTCCAGCAAATATCATTTGGTGCAAAAATGTGCCGTCAAAGGTAGCCTTCTTAGTGTGGACCACCTACCTCAACAGAATCCTAACCAGGGATAACTTAACTAGGAGGGGCATGCCTTTGGAGTCCAATAATTGTGTGTTGTGCGATGGGCATGTCGAATCAGTTAACCACTTGATGTTACACTGACTTTGCCCACGAGGTCTGGTCAAGGATTTGGAAAATGTTTGAGGTGCAAACCTGCAACCCAGAATCAATGGTGGACTTCTTACAGAGCTGGAGTGTAGCTGGTCTAACCAAAAGGGGGAAGGTAGCATGGAATATCATTCCTGCATCAGTTTTTTGGTGTGTCTGGCAAGAGAGAAACTCAAGAATGTTCAAAAACAAGAGCAGCTCGGTTGATTCAGTTTTCCAGAAAATCTTGGGGAAATTGTTTTCCTGGCTGGCTATGAACAAGCTTTGTAGGGAAAGAAATTTCAATTCCTTTTTTGTATATGATAATATTTTTGTAAAGCAGAGGGTGGGGGTTTAAGGTCGTAATGGGCATTAGATGTGCATCCCCCCCTTTTTGCATAGCAGCATGTTATACTGTTTTTGTTTTCTTAATACATTCATACCTTACTTTCTCTCAAAAAAAATATGAGTATTAATCATGCTCAGACCAAGATACCAGCCCAACATTGGGTATTAGCCCTTTCATGTTTAGACTTTAGAGTTTAGACCAAGCATCGATGATGGGCAACAAGCATATACTATCCCATGATATTGGAGAGGCGGAGAAGAATTAATGTAGAGGGAGCATGGCAATTCTTCAACTAAAATATTATTTTGGCATAGAATAAGAAATAATAAAATCTAAATTTGCGAACAGGTTGATATTAGGTCAAACAGAAAAATTGTGATTGTAATGTGGATTGTATAAAGAAATAAAAAAAAAAACTCCCACATTAGGGAATAAAGATATAGGGATTCTAATTTACCTGTCGGAATATCTGAAGAACATCAATGGTAGAAAAGAATTCTTTCTTTGCTTTCATAGCTTTAGCATTGTCTAGTAAAGTTCCATCCAAATGAACAGGAAATAGCAAGTATGCTTCATGGTTCCCGGATCCTTCTTGTGTTGCCTAGACAGATAAAGTATACACATATTAAAACTAAAGGACAAAGCTTAGAATGAATAATTATCAAAGAAAACATTTTTTTAGGGTGGAGAGCGTGGACTGTTCCTTATTGTGAGACACTTTTCGAGCTCAAGATGCATGTTAAAGGCCAGGTGAAGAGAACATGATTAATATCTTTAGAGGATATCTTCATAGGTCATGTCTTTCTTTGATATATGATATGAGAGATCCTATGCTAGAACTGACTGGTATATTCAGAAGTTCACAAATAATTCAGGATCTTGCTTCTCCGTTTTCTCATTTTCCTGAAGAATTCTCCTTGCTAAACAAGATAGACCTGACACATGACCTAATGGTTAAGGCTTGGATGATGATGATTAACATTAAAAATCAGTATAACATGCTTGAAGAATATTTGATTATGCAATATAAGATAAATCTCTCAAAGGCAAATCCATTGAGATCAATAGTAGAATTCTAAGTTCAGCTTATGAGTCTGTCAGGTTGGTCAGTGCACTTATCAGCAACTGATTCAAGGATTTACCAATCTGCGACTAAAGTTATATATTTAGATTAGCAGTATCCCTAGGTGTTTATACAGATCATTGTGAAGAACAAAGAAAGATATCAAGGACAATTAAAGAAATTTCCTTAACTGAAATGATTGCATGATCAAGAAGTGGAAGTAAATTGGGATGACTAAATAGAGATGAAACACGGATCTCCTCTCTCACCAACTCCAACTGTTCACTAGTTTGTATTAGGACTTTCTTCATTGCATAAGTCCCATCATCTGCAAAAATGGAAGATTAGTCAGGGTCTCAGCCTGTAGCTCAGTTGGGATATACTGCAGTACTGCACCTTAACCATGATGACATTTTCCTAGTCTAGCTTACTGGCCTAATAAAAATACAAGGGAGAGACAAGTTCATAGTTCATAGTCAGATCATTAACAAAACGAGTAATCATTAAGTTCAGAAACAACAATTGGATCGTGCTGGAAACCAAAGTGCCATAAGGAAGCAACGATTAAAGGTTCGTTGAAGTCAATTTATAGAATAATTTCCACTCGTTATTACAAAATAGCAACAGAGCAGGGGGGAAGTTCAGAGTTTTTCTTTAATTCCAAATCAATAATTGAAGAAGCAAAGAAACATTAAACCCTAATTCGATTCAATAAACCTTTCAGAGCATTACTCAAGTCACATTTTTATCACTAAATAAGAATCGACCCAACAAAATTCAGAAAAAAACTGAAGAAACCCACTATCCCCTAAAATAGCAAGGATACAACTTCAAAATTGCAGAACGAAATTCACGATAATAGGCACTCAAGATCAAATTTTTAGATACAAATACTTCCTAAATACATAAAAAAAAAAAAAATTATATTTTTCAGATTCCCGATAAACTAGACTTGAAATAAGTTCACGAAGAATGAAAACAAAGAGAAACTCATAAAAACCCATGAATCCAATACGAAAATAGATCAAACCTGAAACAAAAGAAGGGTCCTTGACTTTCTTCGCAATACCACCAACTCCCCCATCAGTAGCCACGTCCTTAACAATTTCTTTGACTAGATAAACATACGCAAAACCACCTTCTCCAAGCTGCCTCAAAATCCTGAAACGATTCTCATTGATCCAAACATCCCCTCCGCCATTAACTACATCATACAGAGCATTCAAACCAGAAAACGAGCATCCCATCTTGGTCTGCTCTTCCTCCCTTTCACACCCTCTCTCTCTCTATATATAATATATATGAAGTCAACAGATCTTCAGTTTCTTCTGTCAAGCAAACAAATTTCACTCTTCCTCTCCAGATTGATTCAGATTCTTACAAATTACAAGCCCTGCTTCGGATCTTCAGGCTATAGTTGTCACCCATTAACTACAGCAATTAATAATGACAGTTAATTAATTTTAATCAACAATTAAGACGTGACACCAATAATTCTTCTCAAGTAAAGAATCAATCATGGCCATTGGTTATCAGCTGAACAGAGTTGATCTTTACTTTTTTCTTTGATCTAATCTTTTAGTATTTAAATCAGACGGTAAGTGTAGTTCAACCATGCAAATTCTCAAGATCCGCATCTGCTTGTTTATTGCAACTGGGTGCAAGTTGAGGACAACTTCATGCTGAATACTCAAATTTGTTTTTGAAGTTCCAAAGCTAAAACCACTGTTCTTACCTGGAAAAAATAACAGGAAAGAGAAAAACTAAAACACCGAAGCCTGGCAGCCTGCAAAGGGATCCGAATCCGATCAAAATTGATCCGATTATTGTCCTGCCCGGATCATTGATTTATCACAAATTATAAAATGGATGAAAAAAGAAAAAAATAACACTATGTTGCTTCCCGCTGCAATGGAATTGGAAACCAGGGGGCTTGGCCGCGGGCTCGAGCCGTAAATATCTGACCGATTATTTTTTGGGCCAATTTGGGCTTTTATAAATAAGCCCAACCCGATAATAAAAATACTAGCGGAGGAGCCTCGAGGGGCTGGAATGAAATTGTAATATTGTTATTTGTTATATTAAAAAAGATAATGGTTTTTTAATAAAAAATTTACAATTATAAATACTCAAATTTTGAAATTCATACAAAGACTTAAAAGAAATCATTATGTACTTGTTTTTTAAATATTACTTCAGCAAAGCATCTCATATAAAAGAACACGAATATACAATGATAGTTCTGAGTTCTATTTCATAGTTGTCCTTTGTTCCACACCAAGAACTCCTAGTTCGCCCCGGGAACTATCTAGGCAACCAGTTCTGTTTTACTCCAAACCTGGTCCCCTGGCAAAAAATCGTTGAATCAGTCAACGGCCCATTGACCCAAGCAGTTTAATTGTCGACTCATCAACCCATTCAACGGTTTTTGGTTGTTTTTTATTTTTTGTTGTCAGAATGAGCCATCTGTTCGAACTGGACAATCGAATCATCAGCCTGAAAACCGGTGGCCAAAATGGTTCTGTTTCTAGGTCGTTTTCCTAGGTGTCAATAATTAGACAAATTAACTTTATAGTCGTAATCATGTGAAGGGTGGACATTGCAAGGGATTCCCAAACCTTAAAAGATAAATCCAAAGTGACCTTAAACACATAAAAGAAAAAAAATCGGCGGTACATCCACCAAATTGGAAAAAACTAAAGAAAAAAAACCAAAAAATCGACTCCAAAGTTCCACTTTGAGACGAAGCTAAACATGCATGCAATCAAAGAAAGAGACAAAGCAGATTGTCTTATAAGAAAATAAAAAAAAATGCACAAGAAAACACAAAGAAAAAACAAAAGGGAAGAAATAAAATGGTGGTAAACCCTAGACCGTTTTGGAGGATCTTGAAGAAGAAGACCAAACACACAAAAAAAAAAAAAGCAAAAAATGAAAAAAAAAAGGAATATACCGCACACGCTCGAATAAAATCCATAGTAGAAGAAACTTTTGAATAGTGAAAATCCAAATGCATAAAACCATGGTTTTTGAACTGCTGTTGACCCGGACGAATGGACATTTCGGCCCAGGAACCATCCAAGAAACCGATTCCGTTTCACCCCAATTTCGGTCCCTAGCAAAAAACTGTTGAATCGGTTAATGACCCATTGACCCAAACGGCTGAACCGTCAACCTGTTGACCCGTTCAATGGTTTTTGGCCATTTTTTTTTTAATTGGGAACCATTCAGGCAATCAGTTTTGTTTTATCCTAATCTTGGTCCTTGGCCAAAAATCGTTGAATCGGTCAATGACCCATTGACCCAGGCAGTCAAACCATCGACTCGTTCAATGGTTTTTGGTCGTTTTTTTTTTATTTTTTTAATTTTTGTTGTCAGAACGGGCCATCCATTCGAATCGAACAATCGAACTGTCGACCCAAAAACTGGTGGCTAAAACGGTTCTGTTTTCAAGTCGTATGAGTCACATGCTCGAATGACATAACACGATGGTATTGCTTAATGAACCTCACACACTCAATTTTTTGCCTGTAATTTTTGTTGTCAGAATGGGTCATCCGCTTTTTTATTTTTTTAATTGGAAACCGTCTAGGCAATTGGTTCCATTTTACCCCAACCCCGGTCCTTGGCCAAAAACCATTGAATTAGTCAACGACCCATTGACTCGAGTGGTTGAACCGTCAACCCATTGACCCGTTCAATGGTTTTTGGCCGTTTTTAATTTGTATTGTTAGAACGGGCCGTCCATTCAAATCAAACGGTTGAACCGTCGACCCGAAAACTGGTGGCTAGAACGGTTCAATTTTTGGGTCGTATGAGTCACACACTCGAATGACATAACATATATGATACTGTTTAATGGACCTTACACACAATTTCTTGCTTGTAATTTTTGTTGTCAGAATGGGTTATCCGTTCGAACTGGATAGTCAAACCGTCAACTCGAAAAATGGTGGCTAGAACGGTTCCGTAATTTTTTGTTATTAGAATGGGCCATCTGTTCGAACCGTTGACCCAAAAACCGATGGCCAGAATGGTTCCGTTTTTGGGTCGTATGAGTCACACGCTCAAATGACATAACACATATGATACTACTTAATGAACCTCACACACTCAATTTTTTGCCTATAATTTTTGTTGTCAGAACGGACCACCCATTTGAACCGGATGATCGAACCGTCAACCTAAAAACTGGTGGCCAGAACGGTTCCATAATTTTTTGCTTGTAATTTTTGTTGTCAGAATGGGCCATCTATTTGAATTGGATGGTCGAACTGTCGGTTGTCAGAACGTTATTAACAACATTTATCAATAATAGTAAGTAATTATAATGTTTTATTAAATAATCAATAACAATGCTTTTAATAAAATTTTTAATATAAAAATAATTACTAAGTTTATTAATAGTATTTATTAATAATAGTATTTATAATTTTAATTTAAATTAAAATTAAAGTAAATATCTATTTATTAACAATATTTATAATAACAGTAATTATTAATTATAATCACTAATTATATGTTTATTAAATTACTGTAATAATCAATAATTATTAAAACCGGGTTACTAAATTTATTAACAGTATTTATAATTTTAATTTAAAATAAAATTAAAGCAAATTTCTAGTTATTAACAATATTTATAATAACAGTAATTATTAATTATAATCACTAATTATATATTTATTAAATTACTGTAATAATCAGTGATTATTAAATTACATTACTTAACTATTGTAATAATCAGTAATTACTTTTATTTATAATAACAGTAATTATGTATAATCGTAATGGCAGTAATTAAAGGGAAATACTGCCCTTACTACAGATCTGGGTTACTCTCACATGGGATCTACTCGCACAAATAGATTTCATTTCATGCACGCAGAGAGCACCCATTTCCTATTAATATATATGTTATTAATAACATAAAATAAAATGAATCGGGGTGCAAACATTAAACAGGGTTTGGGGTTTGGAAGAACAAATGAACTCCGAGTAAGTTACACTGATCTGATTCATTTCAAGTTTTCAACCGTACCAGAGAGGGAGAGGGACTCGGACGAGAGAGTGAGAGAAGAGAGAAGCAGGGGAGAAAGACATGTGAAATGAAAGGATAGGTGATTGGTTTCATGGGGAAGGCCCATCCTGTTGTTTTCGCACGGAGAAAATGAATTCACGTGTGGGTACCTTTTCTTGCAGGAAAAGGACACGTCATCTTAACGAAGGCCCATCCCGCTTTAGTATATATAATATATATAAGATATATTAATAAATAATAATAAATATATTAACATTTACTAATATATTATTATTAATAACATAAAATAAAATTTGCTTAATTCAGCTTTGAGACTCTCAAGATCTAGGATTGATGGTCAAACCGGACTGGACTCAGATTTGAGCCTACACAATTCTCTGTAACCAAAGAGGCAAACCTTACCTCAGCCCGGCCAATCCAACCCATGAACAGGTAGGTCTATTGACCCATCACCCCCTGGTGAATTTTGATAAATGTCTTCTCCTGATTGATTACAAAATTTTCCGGTATTATGTCTTTCCAATATTATAGTGGAAGTGTCGAACCCCTTCATCTATCATTACACTACAACATCAACCCAATGATCACACACCACAAGAGACCATGATTATCCAGGGTGGTGAATCACCACCGTCGCTCGCTCTTGAAGCCTTGAGAGTTGAGACCACGTTCTTATGCTTGTCATGTCAAGGTTGTACAATGGCCCCTGATGCTGATGCCGATACTCAATACATCGGTATCGGTAACTATGTAGGGACTACTGTGAAGCAATTATTATGAGTTTCACTTTCTCATTTCACGCAAAGGGGGGTATTCCCCAAAATGCATAATTTTGATTTTCTTTTTCTTAATCATTGCTGATGTTAAGTCATATAACAGATGTTTCTGTTTAAGAAAACAAGGTAATACCTATTGTCAAGCACATTGGATCTGATGAATAGTAGTTTTTTTTCCCAGAGTGCATAAAAAGGAATAGAATCAAATTACATTGTTTTCAACGATTGTCATATTATTCCTAATCTCATTCCTCAAGGTTGCCTCTGGATTAAAGCTGAATTCAGATGAAAAGGGAAGCCAAAATCAATCCAAGCACAATTTGATGTCTTTATCTCTTCAAATTTATTTTGAGAAACAAATTAGCAAGTGGTTTTTGGTTTTTGATATCTCAGAAAATACATAAAAGATCATTTCTCCCAAATAACATTAGCTTAGGTGCTAAACCATCTCAAATAAATAAAAAAGAGCAGTGTTTTTCACTGAAGTTTTCTAATGATAATTACAAAATTAATAACATAAAAGAGCAAACATTTGCATTAGCCAATGGTACAGCTTATTCGTCTCGAAGTACAGAGTTATCCATGACTCCCATCATATGCCATTCACATTTTATGATGCTGCTTGACAGGTTGGTTGCTGCTGCGTTATGCAATGTATATTCCCACCTCCCAAACAAATTTCCCTTGCATTTTTTATCATTACAATCTGAACCAACCAACCAACCATCAAATCATACTTCATGAAGAAACTGAAAAGAGTAACTTTCTTGAATTCATGAAACATGTTTGCCCCTTAAATAAGGGGAAGATTTTGGTATGTTTCACTAATTTTCATTAAAATTAACAGAACATTCTATATTCTTAGTCACAAAAGCAATAATCAGTTCCACCTATCTAGGGTTTGTCTTACATTGAAATAAGATATAGCAACATAAATTTTAAAAACTACTTTACCCCCAGCGCACCAACCTTCATTGTGTGTTTATGCATATATTAGGTTTTCCATGCTGGAAACCAGTGTTTTAAAAAAGACATCGGAGTTGTATGCCTGGTGGCACCCCCAAAATACCCAGAGGTGCATGCTGGAAGCATTTATGCTTCTAAAATCTATGCCTCAGGTGCATGAGGTGTATGCCTCATGCACACCTCACGGAAAGAAATTAGGAAGGAAAACAAAGAAAAGAAAGGAAAGGGATAAAAAAAGGAAACAAGAAACAAGAAAAACAAGAATTCCTCCCTTTTCCTCTTCCTCCTCCCCTCCCTCCTCTTGAGAAGGCTTATCCCTCTTTGTTCTCAGGAAGCTAACGCCTCACCCCTCCAGGTAGTATAACACCTCACGTCACGCCTCTGTTTTAAAACCTTGCTAGGAACATAACTTTATTGTAGTAATAAATCATACCAACCATTGAGTTGTCAGGTCAAGCCCATTATCAAACAAAAATTGATTACTGATTGTTTATTTTCTTCAAGACAAATTTATGCAATATTCAATCTTGTGGACTTCTACTTTCAAATATTTAGCACCTTTAACAAATACCATATAAAAACAAATAGTACAACCAAATGATGATCAAGACAGTTATGCCTTACTTCATGATCTGGGAAGGCCAAAGAGAGGACACGATATGCTTCTTCATCCCACTTTTTATCACCAAATGCTGGTGCAATGATCCCTCCATTGGCAATATAGAAGTTTACGTAAGAAGCAGCAAGTCTTGTACCAGCTAGTCTTGGTTTGGCATCAACTTCCTGTCACGAAAATATTTTAGGACTGGATGACAAAAAGATGTAAAATTTCATTTGTCTAATGTCCTCATCTGGCTGCATAAAGTTGTGAATGAAGTGAAACACGTCAGTGTTCCCTTGTACATGTCAAAAACCAATCTAAAACTGTACTGATTATAAAATCTAAACTATAAGTTTCATTAACACCTCATTTATTATCCATACTGCTAGGATTTAGCTTGCACTTCAAAATTTTACAGATAATGATGTTCCTGCAAGTATAAGACAGTTTATTGACAAAAAAACATCTCTGGAAAAAGGTCCCAAAGTTCAGTGGCTCCCACTGTGGAGATAGCTGAGCTAAAGTTCTCCTTGAAACATGATTGCACTGTGTGTGTTCCAAATTTCCAATGGCACCTTTTGATAGAGGAGAAAAGTTCTACTGGTGCTCTTCAAAAATTTTTATTTTTTTTGGTAGTAAAAATAAAATTTACTAAAACAGCAAAAGAAGATACAAGAAAGGTGATCAGTAGTCACCCAAGAGAAAAGAAAGACCATAACACAATGTTACCCTAAACCACAAGACTTTACAAGTAAAATGAGATCCAGAATTATATATATATATCAACAGGAAAGAAAACAAATCACCCAACCGAAACCCATATATCCCCTAACATCTCAAACTAAAGATAATTTTAATCCATCAACTGGACAGATACACCTCTTAACACACTCCCAACAACTTGAAACCCCATGGAACCCAATTTACAACACCAAACACTAAACTCTGTCAACCAACTTCTCCAGTGGCTTGAACCGGAGCCTCTTTGCTTCAGAAGCAGTGTTTTAAAAGCGCAAGGTGCAAAAAAAATGCAAGGGCCAATTTGCACCTGAGGTGCAAGGCGCAAGGCGAGGCACACGCCTTTTTAAGCAAGGCACAAAATTACAAAAAAAAAGCTATAAAATAAAAAAAGTCAGAAAATTCAAAAAAATGCCAAAAAAATAAAAAAAATATTAAACATAATGTTAATAAAAAATATAAACTTGAAATTTAAAATAAATGTTTTAAAAAACCTATTATCTAAAATTAAAATACATAAACATAACATGTAAAGCGTATTCAAATGAAAATTTAAAAATAAAAGCAAACATATAAAGCATTTTCAAGCATGTAAAACCCACAACCTCTTTTTTTCCAATTGCTTCAAGTAGCTAATGTGATGTAAAACATATCGCATTCTTGATTCTATGAGTCGCCTTTGTACCACGCCCCTCGAGGCAAGCCCGAACAAGTCTATGTTAGGGTCTGAAATTCTTATTTCTCACATAAAAAATAATGATTTTATAACTTTCATTGCCTTTTAAGAAGATATTTTATTGCAATAAATGAATGAACATTAGCAAATAGGGGGTTCTCGGAAACTCAAAAAAAGGCACATGCCTTTTTTAAAAGGAGTTAGACTCAAAAAAAAAAAAAAAGCAAAAAGCGCAAAATTTTAAAAAGGTGCACGCCTGGGTTGAGGCACAAGGCGTATCAGGCACATGCCTAAGCGCACCAGGCGTGCACCTAGGAATAGGTGTGCCTTTTAAATCACTGTTTGGAAGTTGTTCATTTAACCGATAATTAGATGACCAAAAATCAGCTGACTCCTTATTTATAGGTATAGGTACTCTTCTCAGAAGAGACCATTCAACCATGGGTCCTGATCATCTGAATACATAAATCATGACAAGTTACAGCAGCCTCACAATCAAAGCAAGGCCAGGCCTAGGTGATAAGAAAGTAAATTAACTCAATAATTTGCAATTGTGCAAGACAATATCAAGGATCTTATGATCCATTTTCTTATAAGTTTGTTTACTAAATCAAAACTATCCTTTAATATAAGGGAAGAAAAAAAGTAAAAGGCTAGAGTGGTCAAATCTGAAGGGAAGGGGATGAGAAAGCATGTAACAATAAGAGTTACTATGCTATTAATTTGAGAAAGTATAGAACAGCTTCAGACAAGGATTAAGATTTGATGTGGGTATTGGCCAAAAGGTTAAATTCTGGAAGGACTGCTTGTGTGGTTGGATGTTTCCAAATGCATAATGGGAACATTATGGTCTCCTCAGTTCTGTAGAGATTTAAATGATTGGGAAATGCCTTTGATATTGGAGCTGCTGCAGATGCTGTACAATGAATAGGTGGATATTAGTAGAGCAGATGGAAGAAAATGGACCAGGGAGAATTCAGGCTCTTTTATAATCAATCATCTTTCTTGATTGGCAGGTTTGGAAGGTATAGAGTTCCCTAGCAGCAAAATCTGGTATGCTACAGCGCCCCCTAAAATAGTTGTTCTCATATGGATAGCCACTTGGGACAAGATAATTACTAGGGACAACTTGATTAGAAGAGGGATGGTGGTAGATAACGCCAACTGCATGCTCTGTGATGGATGTTCAGAATCGGTGAACCATTTGCTACTTCATTGTGTCTTCTCACTTAATATCTGGTTGAAGTTACTTGGTTTATCTGTAGTCAGGGGCTGCTTCCCTATATCTGTTTTGGAGTTTTAAAACTGGAGGCCAGATGGCCTGGGCAAGAGGGGTAGAGTGGCACGGGGTATAGTTCCAGCAGCTATATTTTGGGCTAATTAGAAGGAAATAAATGCCAGGATATTTCAAAATAGTGCAAGCTTAGCATAAATAACTAAAAGAGTTATGAAAATGATGCATTCATAGTCGGCAAATCACAGACTTTTGAGGGAAGAAGCTACAATTCTTTTTCCCTTGTTTGATAACCCTTTTTATAACCAGTCAAGAAATGGTTTTATAGCATATCCTTGGTTTTTGTTTATTCCCAATGTATTACAAGGGTTTCTTTTGATTAGTATAACTTCTACCTTTTCTCAAAAAACAAATGATGATCAAATAATAAGACAATTTAATATTAATACAAACATTTTTTTATCATTGGTACTACAAAACTAACAAGAATAATCAGTAATAATACTATCCAAATGAAATAATAACAAAATCTAATGTGGTTATATACTTTTTATCAGTGGTAATATAAAGGTTCCAGTGGCACCTTTTGAAAGAAGAGAAGCTCTACTAGTGCTCTTCAAAAGTTTTTAACTTGATCAATAGTTAAGATGACCAAGACTCAGCTGACTGCTGATTTCCAGGTAATAGGAACTCTTCTCCACAGAACCCATTCAACTGTGGGTCCCAATCATCTAGGTACAAAAAGATGAAAAGTTATGGTGGCCTCACAACCACAGTAAGGCCATGCCTAGGTGATAAGAAAGTAAATTAACTTTTGCAGTTGTGCAAGGCATGTGAAGGATCTTATGACCCATTTTCTTGAAAATTTGTTTAATAAATCAAAGCTATCCTTTAATCGAAGGGAAGAAAGGAAGTAAAAGGGTAGAGAAATACAAAACTAACACGGGGATGCAAAAGTATTGTAATAATAAGAGTTGCTATGCTGTTAATTTGATGACAGTAACACAAAACTAACAAGAATAATCAATTATAATAGTATTTAATGATATGATAACAAAATCAAATGTGGGTAACATACCAACATTTTTATCATTGGTAATATATCAAAACTTACTAAAGGGGCAAACATGTAAAACAAAATTTAGGATAATTAATCATATAGTAATTAACCAAAATACTGTTAAGCAATCTTCAACAAACCAGGATGCAACTAAATTGTGTTATCCTGCTTTTTGTTGAGACAGAGAAAGAGTAACCTGAATTCCAGCTGACTCTTCATCTGTCATATAAAGTGGCCCAGGTATATGGATTTTGATTATTTCTAATGTTCTTCCCTTGGCATCTGTGGAGTTGGAGAGAACAGAAAATGCCTCTAAGGATCGCTCATACTGGGGATCTGATTCATCATCAGTCCATGACAACAGGACCACACCAGGCTTCACAAAGCAGCACATGTTGTCAATATGACCATTAGTATCATCATCCCCTGTAAAATCCCAGATTAGACGATTCAAAGGTACATGATACAGAAATAAAAAACCTACCTTTTTTTTCTAAAAGAACATTAGCAAAAACTGTTGTTTAAACGATACAAAATTGTAATCTCTTGAGAAGCATGCAAACATAAGAAATAAGAATATGACAGTCAAATTAATGAAATTATCAGCATGCATTGGACAGGAGAAAATTTCAAGGATCTGGAACTTTCACACAATTGCTGAATTAATTATCTTGGTGGAGACCACAACTTCATATAATTCTCTTATATAATACCTTTGTGAAGAAGACCAAACATTACAAACTGGGGTTTCAATGTATCTGTTCTATTCATGATTAAGAATATATGATATCTTTTGTGACTTGGGTAAGATTTCCAGCTTTATATATCATGGTAGGTTTGTTTCTGTATGTCTATTTTTGATTGTAATCAACCATATGTAGTTTTATTGAACAATGCAGAGCATCATTTATCAATATACTTTTATTTTTCTTCAGAGTTTTAGTGTTGTTTAAATGAGGAGTGAGGAGATGAGGCGTATGCCCAAATTTGTGGTAAGGTGTTTTGGCTCCGCCTCACCTCATGGCACATTCCTCAGTGCCACACCTCCATTGCCTTTTAAAACAAATGGTACTATTTTTTTTTTGATCAATAACCAAGAATTTCATTAAGATTAAAGAAGAAGTATATATACAAGCAGAGGGAGTTAAGCTATCTTAACTCCCTTGCAACCAACAAAACAAAATTACAGGATTAGAAATGAGCCCAAAACAAAGAATCCCTAATCACCCCTTGCTTTGCTAACCCATCCGCAAATGAGTTAGCAGATCTCTTCACCCAACTGAATTTTATCTCAATATCTTTTGCCAGCCATTTAAATTTTTTCTTTCATTGCTGTAATTCCACATAGCAGTCTTGTCTTCCTTTAGCCATCTTATTACCACCTCCGAGTCCCCTTAAATTATCAGTCTCCTAATGTTCAACTCCCTCCAATGCCGCCAAGACCTCAGCCCTTAGAGAGTCACCCTCTCCAATAGGGCCAGAGTAGCTGAAACAATCCCCTCCTCATTCCTGAATACTCCCCCAATACCTGACAAACCTGGGTTCCCAAGGCTGCTGCCATCGAATTTCAGTTTTAGGAAGCCCAAGGGGGGAGGTATCCAAGAGGGACTTATGTCCCTTTTAACCTGGGCAGAACTTGCTATCTCTTTCCAACTTCTCAACAGGTCATCCACAGTGAAGTCTATGAATAAATCCAGAGATTTCAGCCAATGTGCCACCCTAATGTGAATCAACTCCATTAGGTTCTCAATGTTTCTTTCTTTTTTTTTTTTTGATAAATAAGATGAGCTTTTATTAGACTAAGATAAGACTTTACAAGCATCCCTTAGAGAGGCACAGGATGCTACCTTTCTATAAAAAGCAAAGAGCAAAGAATATTACAATGGAGCCCAAAACAATACATCCCTATTCACCCCTTGCTTAGCCAAAGCATCAGCCATCCCATATGCAGATCTCCTCACCCACTGTATCCTGAGATTCATATTCCTAGTAAGCCACTTAAACTTCTTCATTTCATTTCTGTAGCACCAGGTTATAGAGTCCAGGTCCTTTAGCCAGCCCACCACCACTTTTGAATCCCCTTCTATCACCAAATTTGCTAACTGTAACTCATTGGCAATGTTTCTTTCCTGTTCTGAAAAAATTCTTGAGTTTCTTTCCCATAAGGTCCAACACAACGCAGCCCTCAGACACCTCCACATGATCCTTCCTCTTTTCATTGGCCAGCTGAAGATGAAAGGGGAAAACAAACTTTGAACATTCATTGGGGAGTTCCAGGTACACCAAAAAGTGAGAAAACCCACTCCCATACAGTTTTAGCACAGTGGAAAGATACCAAAAGGTGGTAACCAGATTCCCCATCTGCCTTGCAGAGAATACACCGATGCAGGAATAAACAAGTCTTGGGTCTCTTTCTTTGAAGCAGATCACTTGTGTTGATTCTTTCCAGGAAAGTTTCCCAACAAAAACTCCTAACCCGAGGAGGAATGGGCTTGCACCAAACCTCTTTAACAGGGAAAGGCAAACCAGGAAGAGCAGGTTGCTGAGTTAAGATTTTGAACAAAGATGCACATGAAAAAGAGCCCGAGGGTGAGGGGGTCCAAAATCTGCTGTCCTCCTTTGAAGGGTCCAAGAAAACGTTTTCAAGGATGGCCAAAAGGTTCGAAATGTTACCCAAATCTGTATCCCTGTCAGCCCTTCTCAATCCCAAATTCCACTCAAATCCTGAAGAAGAATCAGAAGGAACTAGGAAGGAAGAAATGGTCTCATTTTTCAAATCAGAGAGAGCATGCAAAGAAGGGAACTGGTACATTAAAGGAGTGTCCCCCACCCAAGTTTGTTCCCAAAATTTAATGAGGTTTCCTGAATTCAAATCATACCTAACCCAAGGGGAGAAAACTGGTAGAAGGTCATGGATGGCTTTCCACGGCGAAGCACTAGTAGTCCTTGCCAAAATTCCAGGATCCCACCCATTGTCCTCCCGACCATGAATGCTAGCCACTATCTTAGCCCACAACTTACCTTCTCTAAAGGGAACCTCCATAACCACTTCCCCTGTAAAGCCATATTTCTTTTTCTTATATTTCCAATCCCAAGACCTCCTTGTTTCTTGCTTCCAGTAACCACCTTCGACACCACCCTATGGTCCCTCTTTTCCTATCATGACTCCCACAAAAAGTCCCTCATTAGCTTTTCCAGTTTGTTAAAGACCTCCGTTGGGACCTTGAATACTGATAGAAAATAAACAGGTAGATTAGCTAGTGTAAACCTAATCAATGTGATCCTTCCTCCCAAAGAGAGATAACTCTTCTTCCAAGAAGCAAGTATTTTCTCAAATCTTTCCACCACCAGAATCCAGAAGCTTGCTTTCTTGGGGTTATCTCCTAGGGGAAGGCCTAGCTACTGTACAGGCCACTCCGAGATTGTACACCCTAGAGTATCTACATACTCCCTAATCTCCATTCCCTCCACATTCACTTCCATTATGCAACTTCTTCTCCCAATTTATCTTAAGATTTGACATTTGCTCAAACAATTGTATCACCAATTTCAAGTTCCTAATCCAACTCATGTTCCCACCTTCACAGAAAAGTATTGTGTCATCTGCAAATTGCAAGTGGGTAAGTGGTATCTCCTCCCTTCCTACCCTCCAACCCCTTATTAAATTTCTCGAGTCAGCTCTATGAATCAATCTTTCCTAAAACATTTGTAATTAGGATGAACAAAAGGGGGAGAGTGGGTCTCCTTGTCTTATTCCTCTCAAAGTTGGGAAGAAATCCACTACTGTTCCATTTACCAGCACCAAGTAGTGACAACTCCTGATGCATCCCAAAACCCATTTACACGAGGCAACCATATAAAACATTTAGATTCAAAGGGCATATGTAAAATAAAAACAAATTTCATAAGTATAATCTATTAATGGTAGTCCAAGCATGAATAAGTACCAAATAATCCATGAGGCAACCATATAACCTTCCTGACACCAAGATACATCTTAAGCTCATCCTCTATTTGTTCTTTAGTCATAGTAGGATTCCGGTTCTTGTTTAGAAGGCACTCCTCAGTGGTGAGGCAAGTCCCTGAAAGAAGAAAAGAAAATGCAAATTAAAATCAAATCATGACAACTGTATTTTCAGAAGGCTGTAAATATGCTGATTGCTAATGCAAGTTCTTAAAAAGTTAGGCCAACTGTAATTTATATTGGGTAGAGGAAGCATGAGAACTGATTGATAGGTCACAAAATGTGTGAAAATAAAGTAAATTATCATTGCAACATGTGTCTCATAGCAAGACCAAAAATTCTGAGGAAATAAACAACCAGTGTCCATTTTGCATACACCTGTACAAATACACACACAACCGCTGATGTTATAGCTACATTAGCTGTCAAAGCAACTAACAACAAAAAATTATCCAAAATGGTTTATTCAAATGGCTCTTAATTGAACCCATAAATCTCCTCAAAGGATTTTAGCTAAGAGAGGTGGGAGTCAGTGCTTTGAATGGAAAGTTAGGAGAATTGAGAATGTTCCATGGTAGTTCTAGTGGCTCTAAGGAGTAGTTGCTGGGAACTTAAGGGAGAAGCTAGGATCCAGAGATTAGGCAGATTTAGGAGAATAATTTTTTTTCCTAGTGATCCTCAAAGACTGAACCTTGGGGACATAAAAGATCCCTTGGCTAAAGTAAGCCTAAAAGAAAACATTCGAAGTTCAGAACTATGTAGGAGTAAAGAGAGCACTATGAAAAACACCAAGTGACCTCAAAGAAGAAATTCTATTAACTTGTCAAGGACCATGATGAGTAGAATTTGTAGTGTGGTAGAGATTTGAGAAGAAAGGAGAGAAACAAGTTAAGTGGTTCCCTCATGGTAGTAGTGGAGATTTGAGAAGAAAGGAGAGAGACAAGTGATTCCCTCATGGTAGTATCCATAAGATGCCTCTGCAGCCTGCAAGTATTTGATAACAGAGATCTCGGAGAAGAACATGGAATTTCCTGATAAAGTGCATGCTTAAACATGATAGCCTAGATGTTCTACAAATCAATAACAATCTTGTGATGTTCCTTAGATAATATTCATAAGCATCAGAAGAAAAAAATGGGAATAATATTTGTAAGCATCAAAGAAAGATCCTTTCTTTGCTTTATAGAATTGGCCACAAGAGATTAGCTTTGTAACTGGTGAAAATATGTGTAAGTGATATGGTTGCCTGTTTTTTCTCCTTTCCTGCTTCTCCAAAATTTTGGAGAGTAGTTTCTGCATCTTTCTCTTCATACTTAAATAAAGTCAATCAATTCTTACTGATCAAAAAAAAAAAAAAAGATTAAGAACATTTAATCTATTTCAAGTTTTTAATGAGATCCATTAGTGATTTAGTTGGGTATTTAATAAGAAAAATAAGTAGGTTAAATATTAAAATATGGCTTAAAGTATATCTTCTTGGAATACAAAGCCAAAATGACAATATCGCAATATACAATATCATAAAACAACTGTGTCAAGTACAAACTATAATTGTTACCTTCTCCATCTACATGGATGCTTCCACCTTCAAGAATCATAGAATTTGAAAACCTTGGAAGCCTCTCCGTCCCCAAAATCTAAGAAAGAAGGAAGTCAAGGATCAACCAAATTCTGAAAAAGAGTAAGTATATGAACTTGGTAGAGTATGCATATCAGAAGCTAGCAAAATATGACCACCATAGTCAACTTCCTACCTTCCTGGCAACCAGAAGGTCAAGACTCCAATCCTGGTAACAACCATCTTCAACACCTAAAGACCCCCCAAAAAGAATAAGTGAAATTATATGCAAACACAATAAAGTAACATATGCATGTATGCATCTCTACCTAATTGATATAGCTTTCAGGAAAGAGAGAATTTACCACTTATGCATATAACTTCCATTAGTTTATCTAGTTTGAAGTAGGTTTGTTGTGTACTGAAAGGGGTAAAAGGTGGGATAAAAAGCAATACAGGCCTTGATGCAGTTACTAATGTAAAGATGTTGCCTGGGGAACTAATTTGGTCATTTTGTTCAATGAGGTTTGGTGCAGAGTCACCTTTTCTAATCCAGTTTGTGCTTGATTTTATTTACTTAAAGGATTACTTTTTCTTTTTGGTTTTTTATGAATAACTTACTTAAGGATTACAAGATATTTTTTGTGACACACAGACATACATACACACACATGCATGCATGCTTAAGTTAAATTTCTGTAGGATTTTCTGCTGATAATGTTTCCAGCAATCATTGACAATGGTTTGTCAACAAAAGAGATGCTTCTTGTGTTGTATAATGAATTTATATAGAATGCTGCATAGGATTTGCAAAGGATATAAAGCATCTCTGATCAGTGCTAAGATTCCAGTTCCACAGTCACAAAATTCCAACACCAACAAAGCAGTAAAAAAGGAAAAACAATAATCTGATTTGATAACAGTGAGAAAGAATAGAAGAGAGAGTTCTTAGTGAGAAGAGAAGAAGAGAAAGAGAAGAGATGGGGTGAAGCCAATAATGATATGGCCGCCCCTCTTATTATCTTATATATTCATAAAAAAAGATTGATTACAAAGATCAATATGCCCTTAATAGGGCGGCTACTGCTAATAACATAAAAGCAGTCCCAAAAAAACAATATAAATTAATGGGCCTTGGGCCCAGCAACACCAACTAATGGCCCAATGACACTAACTACCGATTATGAACAAGAAAAACATAAAAAAACTGCTGGATTTCAACACTATGATACCCAGATACCCATGAATATGCAGCACACTGGTGTCGGACAATAAGTATCTCATATGACACTGAATACTGTGTTAGCTCGAGAAAGAGAGAGAGCAGAGAGAAAGACAAAAGTCCAGATCTGTTAGGGTTGATCAGTCAGATCAAACCAACCCAGAAAAGATGTATTTATATTAAACTTATGTGAATAGACAATACTGTCCTTACAAAGAGAATAAAAAAGGTTTGTACACTAAAGTACACGCCTAATATTGTACAAGAAAGAAAAAATAAAGTACAGAATAGTAGAATTACAAAACTACCCTTCAGTAGTTCTTCTACACTCCCCCTCAAACTGATGCTGGGGTAGAAGCATCAGTTTGTCAACAAGGAAATTATGTCGGACTTTGGTCATGGCTTTGGTGAAGAGATCCGCAAGCTGTAGACCCGATGAAACATGTGGGAGAGAGATGTGACCTGCATGAAGAAGGTCACGAATGAAGTGACAATACACCTCAATATGTTTAGTTCTCTCATGAAATACAGGATTGGTTGCAACCTTGATTGCACTCATGTTGTCTGCAAACAGAGGAATAGCAGATGAGTGATCAATATTCATGTCATGAAGGAGTGCCTTAAGCCAGATTATTTCACTGCAGACTGAAGACATGGCTCTGTACTCGGCTTCAGTAGATGACTTGGAAACCGTTTGTTGTTTCTTGCATTTCCAAGAAATCAGACAATCACCAAGGAATATACACCAGCCAGTAGTAGAGCGACGAGTGTCAGGACAACCGGCCCAGTTAGCATCTGCATAAGCTCCGAGCTGTGTGGATGAAGAGGATGAGAAAAAATAGGCCATATGATAGTGTGCTCCGTACATAACGAATAATTCGAAGAACTGCCGAATAGTGAGGTTGACGCGGAGCTGAAACAAACTAACTCACAATCTGAACCGCATAGGAGATGTCAGGTCTAGTCATGGTGAGGTAGATAAGACTACCTACAAGCTGTCTATACAAAGTAGCATCAGGAAGAAGGTCACCCTCATCTTTACTCAACTTACAATTAAGCTCCAGAGGAGTATCAACATGTTTAGAATCAGTCAAGTGAGCAAGAGACACCAAATCAGAAGCATATTTCTGTTGATTGACGAAGTAACCCTGATGACTTCTTTGAATTTCAAGTCCAAGGAAGTATGTGACTGACCCAAGATCTTTCATTTTGAATGAGTTACTAAGCAGGAGTTTGAGATTGGTAATACCATCCACATCATCTCCAGTAATAAGGATGTCATCAACATATACCACAAGAAGAGTCAGTCCCTAAGCCCGCTTAAGAGTGAAGAGAGAGTAGTCTGAAGCACTCTGCTGAAAACCAGCTTCTAACACTACTATATGGAAGCGATCAAACCAAGCTCTTGGAGCTTGTTTAAGGCCATATAAGGATTTCTTCAATTTACACACCAACTAAGGATTGTCACAGTAGCCGGGAGGTGGTTTCATATAAACTGTCTCCTGTAACTCTCCATGGAAGAAGGCATTTTTAACGTCCATCTGATGAACTGTCCATTGTTTGAGGGCAGTAATAGCAAGTAGTAAACGGAATGTTGTCATTTTAGCCATAGGTGCAAAAGTTTCATCATAGTCAATTCCATACTCTTGCTTGTAGCCTTGAGCAACCAGACGGGCCTTATATCTGTCTAGAGTACCATCAGATTTGAGTTTTACAGTGTAAACCCACTGACTACCAATTATGGAGGCATCTGGAGGAGAGACAAGATCCCATGTGTCATTTCCAATAGAGCCTGAACCTCTGAATCCATAGCTTCTTTCCAATGCTTAACTACTACGGCCTGGCTGTAAGACTTAGGAATATCTGTGGATGACAAAACAGCTGAGAAGGAGCTATGACTAGAAAAGAAGCCATAGCGATCAGGTGGACGAGAAATACGAAATGACCAGCGCAAAGGAATAGATGAAGGTAAATCCTCGGGAGGAGAATCTGCACTTACAGTAATGGTGGATGGAGAGGAATGACCAGACACTGTTGCTTGAGATGGAGGAGGCATAGGCAATGGGCGAACTAGATGCTTCCTGAAGTACGTCTGAAGAGGCTGAAGAGAAGGAGAATGACCTATAGATCCAAAATCGTGCAGAATAGAGATGGATGGTGCAGGTAATTTACAAATATGTTCAAAGAATGAGAGATTCTCAAGAAATATGACATTACGAGAAATGCGCAACCGACGGATTTTGGGATCATAACAAAGAAATCCCTTGTGTTCCGTACTGTATCCCATGAAAGCACACATAGCTGATTCAGCTGTTAGTTTTGTGCGTTCATGGGGAGGGAGATGGACAAAGCAAACACATCCGAAGACACGAAGGATGGATAGGTTTGGTGGACAATGAAATAAGGACTGATGAGGAGAAGAATTTTCAAGGACAGGTGTAGGAAGACTATTGATGAGATGAACAGCAGTGCGGGTCGCCTCCACCCAAAAAGTAAGGGGAGCATGTGAATCTTGTATCAAGGACCTCACCATACTAGCAATATGACGGTTCTTGCGCTCCGATACTCCATTCTATTGAGTAGTACTGGGACAAGATCTCTGGGACTGAATGTCATGTTGTTTAAGATAGGTTTGAAACTCACCATCCTCACCATCATAATACTCTCCCCCTAAATCTGACCTCAAAATATTTATGGTGCTTTTAAACTGGGTCATTACCATAGCATGAAATTTTTTAAACATGGAGAAGACTTCTAATTTCTTTCGAAGAAAGTAAACCCATGTGTAACGAGTACAGTCATCAATGAATAATACAAAGTACTTATAACCCAAGCGTGAGATGACTGGAGACGACCACACATCACTATGAATGAGATGAAAAGGTGTAGATGCATGTTCAGTAGAAGATGGAAAAGGTAAAACATGACTTTTACTATAGCAGCAAGTTAAACAAGATTTATCAATATTCTTGACTGAAGTAGTATTCAAAGGTAAACAGCCAAAGGAAAACAAATAAGCCAAATTCTTAGCATGAGTGTGGCCCAAACGTCTATGCCATAAATGCCACACATTATTACATGAAGAAATAGAAGAACAAGGAGAAACAGATAGCAAACAAGAATCCGGTGAAGATCTCTTAGTCTCGAATTCCAAAGAAACAGCCTCCCAAGCCTACGCCCCTTCCCCTTCATCTCCCCAGTGTGCTGGTCCTGAATGAAACAACCATCAAGAGTAAATAAAACATTATTACCATCATCAACAAGTTGTCCTACAGATATTAAACTAGTAGTCAATTTAGGGACAAAAAAAGTTTTGGGAAGATGAAAGGGTTTGGTCTGAGAAGTGGATAAGAACAAATCATTACAACCATATACAGGTAAGAATCACCATTGGCAGTAACAATATGGTTGTCAAAGGATCTAGGTTTAGGAGACTGATCAAAGGAGACCCCAGTCATGTGATTTGAAGCCCCTGAATCAATAATTCACATGTGACACGGGGATGAACACATAAAAGCAGACTTACCAGCCAGTTCAAAAGCAGAAAAATCAGAAGAAATAGCTGAAGACATAAGCTCACGGATCCTTTCTTCAGTCATATTTCCCTGGGCATCTGACTTGTGGGCTGATGATGAGGTGGCAGCATCAGTGGTAGCAAATTCGGTTGAGGCCTGATAAGCCTTATGCTATCCCTTCTTAGGAGGCCTAGTCGGGCACTCCACAATGATATGTCCTTGCTGTTTGGAGTAAGTAAAAAAGTTCTTGTAGTGGGATGCCACATGACCAAATTCCTTACATTCATAACACTGCAACTTCGAGAAGTCTTTCTTACCCTTCTGCTTGGTGGCTAAGAACACAGTATCAATCCCATGTTCCTTCTTTTGATCAAGTGCAGATAAAGTAAGAAAATGTGTTTCCTCCCGTAACAACTCTCCAAGAATTGCATCTAGTTAAGGGACTGGTTCTCTACTGAGAATGCTGGAACGTAGAGTTTCATAGTCAGGCCTGAGATGCATCACAAAATGCATGG